AAACCACAGAACCCGGGACTGCCCTGCCAACCCCACGGTGTCCCAAGGACTCCACGGTTCTGTAGCACCCGCCGCCTCTCCTTGGTAGCTTGCTGGAGTTTTCCCTGACCATCGTGGCTTGGCCACTAGGTGGAGTCCAGGTTGTTGAACCTGCTGGCTGCCCCATAGTCTGATGGGTCTGATGTTGAAATTCAGATGGGGAACTTTGGGCCAGATATTGGAGCTGTGATTTTCCTAGGGTCGGGGCACCCCTGCTCGAGCCACGGCTGCCTCTAGCTGCCAGTGACACTGACTGACAGCTTGATTGGCATGAGTCTGTCAGGAAAAGCAACTTTCTTCTTACTCTTTGGATTTTGTGTATATGTTACGGGGAGGCCTTTGAGTTCGGGTGTACATCTTGTTCCTCATAAAATTTTCAATACATTCAGTTGCTTTTAAAAAAATATTTTTATTTGAAAGGTAGGATTACAGAGAGAGAAAGAGAGACAGGTCTTCCGTCTGCTGGTTCATTCCCCAAATGGCCGTGATGGCCAGTCTGAAGCCAGGAATCAGGAACTTCTTCTGAGTCTCCCACATGAGTGCAGGGTCCCAAGGACTTGAACCATTTTCCTCTGATTTCCCAAGCACATTAGTGGGGAGCTGGATTGAAAGTGGAACAGCCCGGTCTTGAACAAGTGCCCATATGGGATACCAGTGCCACAGGCAGAAGCTTAAGCTACTATGGCACAGTGCCCCTCCACATGTCTTTATATCTGCGTATACCTGTTCAGGTTTGATTGATTTCTTCTGTCCTCCATTCTCTGTTATGGTACCAGGTGCCCTCTGCAGGTTCCAGTGTACAGCCATATCCTCCATTTGCATGTGGATATGCTGTCCAGTGCTCCATCTAAGCCACTGAGGAGGCACAACACTGACTGACACGTGCATTCTACAGCCAGACCATGGAATCTGCAATTTCTTCTGCGGTTGGAATTCTGAGTCCAGAGGTTCAGTTGGGGAGATTCTCAAAGAAGCTTCATCTGAGGCCACCCTAGACCTGATTCTTGTGTGTATTTGCCAATACAGGGTCCGGTACAGTCCACTGCCCAAATTGGCCTACATGCACAATGTTAGTTGCAATTGCTGGGTCAGTTGTGTACCTGGCCCTGTCTTCTACACAAACTAATAGGTGTTGCAGTCCAGCCTGATCCTGCACACTGCGCACTCAGTCTCCTCGCAAGCCAGTGGGAATTGTAGCCTAGTTGAACCGACCTGCAATAACCCCCATCAGTCCCGCTCCCTTCCCTGGTTCCTGTATTTGCCAGTATATGCAGCAGACTGGTCCAGTCTGTCCCGCATCCCATTCAATTCACATACATATCAATGGGCATTGAAGCCTAATTCAACCCAACCACCCCCGTTATCCAGCCCACACATGTCCTGGCAGGTGCCACTCTGTCTAGCAATGCCTGTCCCAGTCCTGGTTCTCATGCTCACCAGTGGGAGTGGCAACTTAAGAGGGAGGTACCCACTGTTTCCCTGATGGGCTTACTCCCTCTCCTGGATCTTGCACTCTCCAGGTGGTACTGCAATTTAGCTCAACAGTTCCCCTTCACCCGCTCCTCCACCCCCCTGCTAGCATGTGCTAGCTGATGCTGCAGCAAAGCACAACCAGCCCGCACCCGCTCTGGCTTATGCATGTACCAATAGGTACAGACAAGCCCAGCCTGGCTTGTCTCCGATCCTGCTTATATACAGACCAAGAGGTGTTGTAGTCCTTCTGGGCTGGTCTGTGGCCAGTCCTAGTTCTCACGCACACCAGTAGGAGTAGAGGCCCAGCAGGGGAGCTCCTTGCAACCCCCTTCTGAGTTTGTCCACTCCTCCCTGGGTCTCATGTGTGCTGGTTGGGTGCTGAGGCCCAATCTGGCATGGTCTGCCTCACCTTGACATTTGCCAGTGGGTGCTATAGCCTGGCCTGGCTTGACCTGCCTCTAGTTCAAGCTCATGCTGGTGGGGACTACAGCCTAGCCAGCCCAGCCAGCCCCCTGTCCCAGCTCTAATGTGAACTGGCTGCTATTGCAGCCCATCCTGGCATGATCTATACACTATTCTGGCTTTTGGATTTGCCAGTGTGGTGGTATGAACTGGCCCAACCTGGCTCGCCCCAGACCTGAGCCAAAGGTAAGCCCGTGTGTACCATAACCTGGCCTGTTCTGGGCTGTTCCCTTTCTTGGTTCTTGCGTTCACCTGCAGGGACTGTGCCCTGACAGAGGAATTCCCCAAACTCCTCCATCAGAACCTCTCCCAATGCCAGATCTTGTGCACACCAGTGGGTCCATGGGCCAACCCTACTTTGTCCACCTCCTGTCCTAGCCTTTCCTGACTAGCCTTCATCCATTCTGGTTCTTTCTGTTAAGTGCTACAGCCCAGGCAAGCCTATTCCACACCCAGATGCAGCTCATGCATGGCTCAGCAAGAGCAAAGAGCTAGCCAAGCCTGTCCTACACCCACCCTGGTTCTCATGATCACCAGTGGGTGCTGGAATCTAGTCCAGTCTGGCACATCCCAGACCCAGTTGACAGTCATGCTGAGGGAGTCTGCAGCCATGTCCAGACCAGACTGCAGTCCCCACTCTGGTCCCTGCCCTCACCAGTGGGACCTACAACCCAGTCAAGGTGTCCCTTTAGCTCCCCAACCAGGCCTGATCCCAGCCACAGAACTCTCACATGCCAGTGATTGTTCTGACCTAGTTTGGCATAGTCCCTCCCCTGTCTTGGCCTTTGTCTTTGGGTGCTGCAGCTTGGCCTGGCCCAATCCTAACTCTTGTGGGTAGGTGCTACAACCTGTTCCTGATCAGTCTGCTCTCCTCTCTGGTTCATGCAAACCAGTAGGTATGGCAGCCTAACCTGGCGTGACTTGTACTCCATCCTGGTTTCTGCACTTGCCAGTGGATTATGATTTGCTTGGCTCTGCCTAGTCTGCCCCTTTCCAAAACCAGCTCACACACTTGCTGACACGTGGAGCTACTCTGCCCAGTCTACCCAACATCCAGGCCTGGACCATGTGCTCATCAGTGGGAGCTACAACCCACTAGAGGAGTTCCCCACTTGTGCTGCTCCCAGACCCAGATCTTACGTATATCAGTGGGTGCTTGCCCTTTACTCAGCATGGCCTGCCCCATCTGTCCCAGCCTTTGCATGAGCTGGTGTGGCCTGGCTTACCCCACACCCTGTTTTAGGGTTCTAATGTGGGTGCTGCAGCCTAGGCCTGCCCCGCTTGTTCCCAGCCCCAGTCCTGGTAAGCATTGGTGAGTTCCATGGTCACACCTAGCTCAGCCCAACATCATTCCAACTCTCAAGCTAACCAGCAGGACTTATATCCATATGGTTGGGCCCACATATCCCCACTGAATCTATGCCAAGAGCTTGTTTTCTGGTGTGCTGGTTGGTGTCATGGCCCTGCCTAATGTGATTCATCCCCTGATCTGATACTCACTGTCAGGTACTGGGATCTAGCCCTGCCAGACAGACCCCTAGCCATAGCTTGTGTGTGTGCTGGTGTGGTAGTCATCCATGTTCCATGCTAGCAAGCCCAACCCAGGACTCCCATGTGGGCTGGTGCATCAGTCTGACCCATAAAGATCTTCAGGTCTCTCCACTCCAGATCACCAGGTCTCAATCCCCTCGCGTACTTGCAAGTACAATGGCCCCGTTGTTGGGTGTCCCTCAGGATTCATTCCTCAGCTACATGCACAGTAGTCTTATCCATGGATGTTCCTAGGAAAGTAATTCCTCATCCCCCCAAGACCCCAGAGCTTAGCACTGGGCAGCTGGTGGGCAAAGCCTGGTGCCAGTTGGTGCTCTGGCTGCCCACAAGCCCAGGACCCTCCCCCCCGACCTAGCAGCTGTGGATGGGGAGCTATGATCCCTAGCAGGTAGCCTGGCCTGGCATGGGTTCTGCCAGCCACAGCTATGTGACTGGGGGATCCAGACACTTGCATCACTGCTCAGACTTACCTGGACTCCACCCCTTAAGTCCACTTCTGATCTAGTTCCCTGCTAATACACCCGGGAAGACAGTGGAGGGCGGTCCAAAGACTCAGGTCCCTGCTGCTCATGTGGGAAGCCAGGACAGAGATCCAGCCCTTACGTTTTGGCCTGAACATTCCAGTCAGTTGGGGAGTGAAGCAGTCGATAGGGAATCTCTCTTCAATAAATAAATAAATAATTTAAAATGAAAAGAAGTACAAACTTTGAAGAGCACATCAACATCCATATTTCTATAACTTGAGAGAAAATGAAGCTAGAAACAGCCTTCTGGCCTGGGGCTGATGAAAAAAGAGAACTCACGTTTGGAGGACATGGATTTGGCAAAGTCAAGCACCGTCCACAGCAGAATTCATGTCTACATTTATGCAACAGAATACTACGCAGCAATGAAAAGGCAGTCAGATTACTTTCTGCAACAATGCGGGTGAAACTGACAGATGAGTGTGGTATGAAAGAAAGCAGCTGTAAGCATATGTTCAAGTAATTCCACTTCAATGAAGTTTAAAAACCACTGGGATCCCATGTGGGTGTTGGTTTATGGGGAACCAGGGAAGGCGTTGCCTGAGAGGGGCATGGGGCAGCCTTCTGGAGTGTGGTTATAGGGGACACACATGTGTGATGTCGTATCCAGCAGTGGATTTAAAATCAGCACACTTCACTGTGTGCAACTCTTGCTTAGGAACAAAGTAACTCAAACAAAAAAGGGATGGTGGCAGCCATGAAGGGGTATCAGGGCTCTTGGCTCTGGGGTACCCAGCTGTGCCCTCAGCTCTGTCCTCTGACTGAACCCCAGACTCAGGATCTGCGATAAGCTTCCCATCAGCAGATGCTGTCCTCTCTCTCTCTGTGAGCACCTCATCCGCCCCTTGGCCCACAAAGGGGGCTCTGGCCCTTCTTCTCCCATTTCTGCCTGCTTCTCTCATCCCCCAACTCCATCTCCCAGGCCTGACCCCTGTGCCTCTCCTCCCGCAGCCAGAAGACCTGGAGGCTCCCAAGACACACCACTTCAAGGTGAAGACCTTCAAGAAGGTGAAGCCCTGTGGCATCTGTCGACAGGCCATTACGCGGGAAGGCTGTGTCTGCAAAGGTGAGCAGCTGGCCTGGCTGGGAAGTGGGTGGCCAGGCCCTGGCCTGGTGCCTTGCTCTCATCAGGTGGAGCAAGCCGCTGAAGTCAGTGGGTGGAGATATGTTGGCGGATGTGAACGGCCTACAGGCAGGCGGTGGGTTTTAGGGCAAAGGCATGTGGCTGGTGTGCAGATACCGGGTGTGATATATGTGTGGGTGATTTGAAGAAGGTGTTGGAGGAGCACACAAGTGGCTTGAGAAAGGCTGTGGGGGTGTAAGGATAGGATGTCATGGCCGGGAAAGGTGCGTGGACAGCAGGCAAAGAGCGGCTAGTTTGTGTGTAGAAGGCACATAGGTGGCATATGGAAGCAGTGTGAAGTGTTCGTGGAAGGTGCACGGAGGCTGTGCAATTGACATGAGGAGGCCATGTGATTGAGGTATGCGGGTGGGATATAGATCGTGTGTGGATACTCTGCAGAAGTGTGTGGTGTGTGGAAGGTGTGATATGGAGAATGCATGTAAGCAGTTTAGAAGTTGTGGAGAAGGGTATGTGGTTGGTGTGTCCGCTGGCATGGAAGCCATGTTGGAGGCATATGGGTGGCATGGGGGTGGCATATGCCTGGCCCTTGGAGTACAGTAATAAAGCAAAGTAGCAGTCACCTCTGGGTGGTAGATTAAGGATAACTTTCAAGGCTCCTGGGGCAGACTTCAACGGGACCTGCCTTCCAGAGGCCTGGACTCTTACTCCCATGCTCCTCCTGATGTGTCCTGGAATGGCCTGGGGCTTAGCTGTTGCCAGGGAGCCAGGATTCTGTCCCAGGAAATACAGTGGGACCAGCAGGAGGCCCTGTGCCCAGTCTGTACCCAAGGCCCCACCTACTCAGCTGTGCCAGCAGACATGTCCTTTTTCCACCCCTGGTTGAGGGGTCATAGCCTGAGGGACTTAGATATGCCCATCCAGTTAGGTCACTTTCTTGGTGGAAACCTTTAGGGACCGCACCCCCACCAAGATAACACACCTGGTGGGGTTGGCCTGTGCCCAGCCGTGTCCCTGTCCTTCATTCCATGCCCAAGCCAGCTGCTCCCTGCAGTTCCAGGTACATCAGGTGTGCCAGACATGCTGATGGCTGTGGCTTGCTTTTCCCTGCAGCCTCATACTCCAGCTGTGTGCACCTGCTGTTTTCTCAGCAAGGCTGCCTGGGGTTCAGAGCACGGCTGAGTACCCAGCGCCCCTGCACCCTCTCCTCTAGGGTCACAGCATCCGGAAGAGGCTCGTGTTGTTCAAGTTTTACATCAAAGGAAACCGAGGCAGAGAGCGGCACATGGCTAGCTGGGGTGGGGTCAGTTTTCAGGGTGTGTGCTCTAGGCAGTGGGCAAGGCCTCTCTTCTGGGTGCTGGAGGTCGGGGCGGTGGGCATGGCTGGCAGTGTGCATGTGAAGGTTGGTCCCAGGCTGTTAACTTTTGCAATACCCAAACCAGCCACCTGGTGTCACCCTTGACCCAAGAGGTCCCACTGGGGCTTGGTGGTGGCTTAGGGTGGGAGTCTGGGGAGATGTCAGGGAGGAATTGCTGAGGGTGGGGTTGGGCATTTTGTTTGCAGGCAATCCCTCTACTCTGCTCAGTGCCAAAAGGCTTCGGGGGTTAGCCTGTGTCTGTCTTCCCTAGCTCCTCCGCTTCGCCCCAGTGACTCCTCAATAGGAGGCAGCTTGGGGATGGAGGCAAAAGTCCAGCAGGTGAACTTGGGCACATCTCTGGCTGGAGTCTGTCTCCTTCAGTGGCTCTAGGTTTCTCAGCTGACCTGGCCAGGACTTAGGGATCAGGAGATTCTATGGGAATGGCAGGCTCCTGAGGAAAGTAGAGGTGGTCCCAGTTTCACCTAGCTCCCAGCCTGTCTCTGCCAGTGTGAACCTGAGAGGAGGGTGAGGGACCAGCTGGTTTGGCAGCCTGGGCTGCAGGCAGGTGGGAAGGTGGGCAGTCGTGGAGAGGGAAGAAAGCCAGGAGGGCTATACTCTGAAGACACCACCAGGTGTCAGCACTGGGCCATGGAAGACTCAGAAGATGGTTCCAGTAAGGGAGAGGGAGACTCGGGCACCCTTGGCAAGAGGCTTGGGGCAGGGATGCCGGCTACTGGGCTCACTTGTGGGAGATGCAGGAATGGACCAATGCTCTGTGCTTTGGAGATCATGAAGTGAACAGACTCCCTCATCCATCCTTCCTTCCTTCCATTCATCCCAATCCCATCCCATCCTTCTTCCTTCAGCTTGTTATCAGGTAGAGGAGGGGAGGTGTGGACTAAGCTGCAGCCTATATTCCACTCACTATTTGGGTCTTGGCTACCTGAGGGCTCAAGCTGGAGGGCTGGCTGAGTCAGTCTGCACAAGACTTGCTTCTGCTGCAAGCGGAAGGCTTGGAGGAGACTTGGGGACAGATACCTGGTTAGACCTGCACAGTGGCAGGGCTGGTGCAGAGGACCATGCAAAAGGCCACAGAGATATTCTCATCTGCTTTAGCAAGGAGGGCATGCACAGACTGGGTCTTGAGGGATGTGTAGGGGTTCCTCTGTCCCACAGGTGCCTGGACAGTGCTATAAGGAAGTTCCATGAATAGTGGGAACCCTGGAAGGCAGCCTGCTGGACTCACAGCTTTGCCCACAGCCCTAGTGGCTCAGTATAGGAGGAAATCCAACATGAAAGTCCAGAAGGCTAGCTGAGAAGCCCCAGGGCTGCCCTGTGGGCCTAGCCTGAGGTCCTGACTCAGCTCACTTCCCTCTTCTGTGCCTTCCAGCCAGCCTGCAGTTACCTGCAGTTTACCTAGATCAGGATGCATCTGGGACAGTAACACAGTCTGTGATGGGACAAGTCCTTGGCCCTGTCACCTCCCAGGACCCCCAGCTTTTTGCCTTGTGTCCAAGGCCCTGCCTGGGGCCACCAGCAGCAGCATGTAGGATAGAAAGCTCTGGGTTTCTAGTCCTGGCTTGCCACTGCCTGCCTGTGTGTCCAGGGATAAGACTCTTAACCTCTCTGGTCCTGAAACTCCCGTTTCTGTAAGTGATTAGGTATTCTCCACTGTATCCTGAAGGAGTGGTGCAGTTCTTGGAGAAGGGCCCCGGTGAAGTTCAAGGCAAGGTTCCGGGGCATGGGTTTGTTTGTGCTCCCACCTGCCCACTTGCCTCTGAGCAAGCCTGGGAGGCACAGTGAGCGGGCTTTGTACTTGGCCGAGGTGTCCTCCAGTCGGTTCTGCCCCTTATAAGTGAGGACTGGGGCAGATTGTTCACTTCTTTCCATTTTTTTTTTCCCTAAAAGATTAACTTAGGGCTGGCATGGTGGCATAGCATCATCAGGCTGAAGTGCTGGTATCCCATATGATGCCAGTTCAAGCCCTGGCTGTTCCACTTTCAATCCAGATCCCTGCTTATGGCCTGAAAAAGCAGTGGAAGATGGTCCAAGGCCATGGGAGATTCAGAATAGCTCCTGGCTCCTAGCTCTGGACCAGTCCAGTTCTGGATATTACAACTAGTTGGGAATGGAACCATCAAATGGAAGATCTCTGTCTCTCCTCTCTGTGTAACTCTGCCTAGTAAAACTAAACATATATTAAAAATTTGTTTATGCATTTGAAAGAGCTAGAAAGGGAGAGAGGAGAGAGAGAGTACTTCTATCTGGGATTTACCCCATAGATGTGTGTAACTGCTACTGGGTCAGGCCGAAGCCAGGATCTTCTGCATAGATGGCAGGGACCCTAGGATTTGGACCATCTTCTGCTGCTTTGTCCAGGCATATTAGCAGGCAACTGGGTTGCAAGTAGAATACTGGCATCACAGGGGGTAGCTATCTCTATGCCATGCAAGCCCCTGCTTCACCTCTTTGAGCCTCAGACTCCTCGCCTTTAAAGTGGGACAGACAGGGCCAGGCACCTTGGCCTAGCAGCTGAAGTCCTCACCTTGAATGTGCCAGGATCCCATAGGGACACCGGTTCCAATCCCGGCAGCCCCATTTCCCACCCAGCTCCCTGCTTGTGGCCCAAAGCCTTGAGACCCTGCACCTGTGTGGGCGATCTGGAAGAGGTTCTGGCTCCTGGCTTCGGATCGGCACAGCACCGGTTGTTGCATTCACTTGGGGAGTGAATCATTGGATGGAGGATATTTCTCTCTCTCTCTCCTCCTCCTCTCTCTCTCTCTCTATATATATATATCTGTCTTTGCAATAAAAATAAATAAATCTTTATAAAAAAAATGGGACAGACAGTAAAACCTCCTCCTCATGTTCCTGAGGGATCCAATGTGATCATTTGTGTCAGATGCTCACAATAGAAGCTGGCACATGGCAAGCACTTGGCCCACACCCCTGAGATTCCACACGAGCCTGTCTGCAGGGAGAGTTTGGGAACCCCTGGACAGGATGACTGGGTTCCTTCTTGTTCCTATTCATAGCTATGTGTCCTGTGCCCCTTGGTCACCCAGATACATTATGTAGGCTCATTTGCCTAATCTAGAGTTTTTGATTCAAATGACAATTTCTTTTATAAAACATCTTGGCAAGAAAATGCTAGAATGACACCTGACATGCCCCCCCCCCCCCATCTAGGTATCACCAACTAGGCAGATGAATCCAGCAGATTCACCACCACACACTTCTAGCCCAGGCCCATGGTGATAGGTGGGGCATGGGAGGGCCAACCAGCCCAGCAAGCAGGTGGGCAGCTGGGCTCTCAATGTTCCCTAGGGCCAGGGGAGGCGCTGAAGCTAGGCCAGGCATGGCCATTGGTTATCGCTGGGGTCAGGTGCATGCTGAGGCTATGTGCTCATTTTCCGACCCCAGTACAGGAGGAAAAGGCCATTTAGATCCCAACAATGTTGGGCTTCCTGTGTTCCCGAGAGGCAGGAAGCCACCCTAGGACAGAGCAACGGCAGCCCAGCTGAGGCGGTGGCCAGGGTCAAGAACTGGACTTGGGGTTGCAGTTCTCAGCTCTGCCAGGTAAAGTAAAGGCTCTCTCCCCAGCAGGGGCTCTCTGCTCCCTCTGGGG